TTTTAATCAAATGTGCAAAGGAAGTGGTGTCAGCATCTTTGGTTTTGTATAGCTAGATTGTTGGTGTCAAAGTCAAGGCCCGGGGGCCAGATCCGGCCTGAAAGACAATTTTTAGTGGCCCCCAAAATTATTTTTTATTATTGTTAACTAGCAGTATTGATGGTAATGGGAGACTAAGGTAGGTTATACATTATATATTTTCTCCGGAAAACAACCAAATTGAATGTATTCTAACAATTTAACCCAATAACACATAATTGGAAGTTAAATAGTTCAATATAAAAAAAATTACTTTATATTTGATCCAGTTTTGGTTCAATGTAAATCAACTTATTTTGTTTTCTGAAAAATAAACCAGAAAATAACAGTGAAACTCATGTCATATTAAAGTCATGTTAAAAAATCTTCATAATGTAAAAAAAACTATTATAAGAAAAGGAAATGTCTTCTATTGTTTCGGCCCCCTACCAGTTCCTATTTTTTAATCGGCCCCTGACCAAAATAAGTTTGACACCCCTGATCTAGATGGTCACTGGGTTGACGTAGAGGCCGCTAGACAGGTTTCATCTGTGCTATAACAATCCTTCCTATTGCAAAGAATCCTAAGAGCGACTTCTGCTTTTGTTTCGGAAAGATGCTCCAAAAACAGGTTATCTCCAGGTGCAGCTTCCCTGTCACCCATGATTGACATTTAAACCTAATGACTTCTTCCGTCTTGTCTGGTTTCATACACAGAATTTGACTTTCCACCACCCCTGGCCTCACTTACAACACTTAACACTAGGAGCGCCCCTAGCGGTCAACTGACCGTCACTCACTTTAATATGCTAATTAGTGTATTCAAAACAAAACGCCAGAAGTTGAAATTTTATGACTTTTACTGGGTACTTGTTGTTTATATTTTGGTGTGTTTTGTTTTTGGAAAAAGTAAAGAAAACAAGATTTACACGCATTTTAACTTTTCTAAACCACAGCTCTTTCTGCTGCCCCATAGGGATACATGGCGCAGGGGCGACTGTTGTCATAGTAACCTTTCCCGGGAGTTTTTCGCGCCTTATACAAATGTATCAATATGTTGTCATTAGACTCTAAAGGGACTTGAGGTTTTTATTTGGGAGAGAGAAAGAGTTTTGAATTGAGAGGAGTACAACATGAATAGAGCTGCAAGTACACGGTATGAAGCCCAGACAGTGCTTCAAGACATTGAATGAGAACAGTCTGACGGAGGTGAGATGTCACAGCGGGGAGAACACCTATAATATTCTAAATCTGAACGTAAACCCGTAGTGCATTCACGGCACGGACAGCAGTGTTGGAACAAGTCCAGAAGCAATAACGCACATGACCCGCGTAATGCTAGCCATACGCAGGTGTCTGTGTGCGCGCTGTTGCTCCATTCTGCCTTTTCATTCATCATCAATTACATTCTTATATTTATACATAGAAGAAGGCAATAAAGCAGAATACAATATCGCAATAAAATAGAACAATTAGATGAACTATCAAGGCAGAGTGCAGATAGAGCGCTGTGAGGCCTCTCGTCACCCGCGGACACTGCAGGAGGAGAGCGACTGTGGGGCAGAAGCGGCCCTCATCATATCAATAAGGATATCTTTCTTATTTCATTCAGATAACACTGTGTGTTATTCTGCACAGCGCGCACTGCAAGGCAATGATTATAATTTTCTTCTGATCATAAAGAGCACTGCTTGTCTCAAATAAATACAAATATATATATATAACGTGTCCCGTGTAAAATTGAAGATTGTACATTGACGATGGTAGCCTAGCTGATGATCTTGTGTCAATACGAATACTATTATTATTATCGAGATAATATTTCCCACAGTGATTTCGGCTGGAAAGAGAAAACAGTCTGGAGATGACGTAAGAAGCAGACGCATATAGCAGCGCGAAGACGTTATGGTCCCGTGCTCTAAACTATCATTTATATTGTTTGAATTGACATATTGTTACTGAGTCAAATTTAACATATAGTGACCGACCTTTTACGTGTTTGCAAAGTTACAAAATAAATCTAGCCAGAAAAGTCTTGGTAATTTTTTTTTATATCGGCTGGAATTACAATTACTTAGCATATTTAGACAAATAATTTACACAGTTTCATTATGATCACGATTTCCTTGCAACAACAAATTCTGGTTTAGTGAACAATCAATTTGGCAAAAGGCTGTATCAGCGCAAAATACATAGCGGTCAACTGACCGCAGGGGGCGGTGCAAGGTATGTTTAGAGCACGGCGGTCCTAGTGTTAAAGCAGAAATATAAGTCTTTACCTCATCACATTATGACCAATTTAGACGTGAATACATTCCTCACTGTGGTTCTTCACAAGGTTCTCTTTTGTTCTGGGTGTTTTTGAGTTTTTCTTCCTGAGGACAGAGGGTCAAAGGACATATGATGCTCCGGGACATTTATCGATTCGCTCAAATACCTGAACATTGGTTAATCTGTTTGTCTTTATGGACCAATGGCTGTTCTATTTGTTTTATTGATTTTCTAATTTGTGACTGCTCGGTGAGACGACTGCTGCTGTGATTTCTACAATGCAAAAATGCACTGCACAGCCTCGGTCCCCGCTCTACAGCACTGTCCATGAGAAAGGATCCCTCTCTCTTTGTGGCTCTTCCCAAAGTTTTTTTCCCCCTTGGTTTTGTTGTTGTTGTTTGACGATGCAGGAGGAAGGACAGCGATTTGACTCTTTCTGTAGCCGGTCAGCAGCTAATGCCAGTTATCTGGGATTTTGACGATAATGTAAGCACATAAAAAGTTAGGGTTAGTGCTTTACTTTAGCAATGATTTTTATATTAGTGGTGCAACACCCCATCTAGTGATTGAACTTGGGAATAACATTCTGCTGTAATATACATGTACATGGAAGCACGAACATTTGACTTTTGTAATTTATTTTAATAGTTATTTGACCTTATTAAAGTGATTTTAAGGCATTACTTATGTCTGAGCCGTTTCGTCAATTATCATAAGGTTTGAAAGCGAAGCATTCCGACCGAAGAGATTTTTTTCAATACATACCAGAAGTCACCCTTATTAGTGTGGATTAATTTTTGATGGAACCATGATGGAACATGGTTAGAAGGTAGGAAATTATTATTTTGCCGCAATTTTCTGCAAAAACTGTGTTCAATTTAAAGAGATTATGGGCTAACCCCTAGAAGTAGTATTTCCATTGTTTTTTGAAACATCACTTAAATGCTAGAAAGAAGAGGGATATAAGAATTCACAAAGTAGAGGCAGCAACGTCTCTGTCCAGGATGGAAAAGAAGATCTAACCAAAACTTTAAATAACTTGATTCAGGAATACGAGCATTTTTCTACTCTTAACAAACTGCCCTGGTCTCTCTCAGCTCTTTTCCACTCAACACTTTCAAAAACCCATTCCCAATATTGTTAAAAAACTTCCTCATATCTCTCTATCACACCAAATCCATTGCCGTTCCCAGATATGCTCGGCTCACACAAGTCTTCTCTGGTGATGGATAGGAACAACAATTTTCTCATTACGCCTCTATTTCCTTCTGACCAAACAAATCTTCTTTCATCGCTGGAGTAGAACCGACAAAGTGTGAAATTGCGATTAACATTAGCCATTAAAACGTAGCCTGCGGGAAGTTAAAGGAGTTAAAAGTGTTTGTGGAATCTGCCGAGCCTTTGTTGTGTTCAGACATGACACAGGGGTTTGGGCTTTCAGACGCTCAACATAGACGCAAAAGCACATGAAACAGGAGATAATGGAAAGCAGGCAGGTTTGAAGAACGCCGATAATGTAATCAGTGTAGTGTTTTTGCTCCATGTTTGACAGACAAATAGCTTTTGTGTGGTTCCGGCTTATTGCAGTCTGACTTTGTACATATTTGTTCGCTCTATTCTTCAAAAACAAATGCGAGGGCGTCTTCAAAAGTTGGTCCATAGATGAATGCATAAAGTGGGATTAAATGCTTTCGAACGACAGAAGCGAGTGTTATTTCAAGATGGAAATTTTCTTTTCACATTCAAATTGTTCATAGACGTACCAAAATAACTTTATTGAAAGCGGCAAAGAGATTTTGCGTTCCTAAAAAATGTCACACAGAGGCTTCTCAACTTCTCTTGTGAGGTCAAAATAATTTGAAAATGTTAGATGTTTAGAAAATTGAATCATTTCTGCATTTTTTGCATTCATTCATAGCTCAATGGTAAGTGTTCTCACCCAATAAACTTTGTCTGGCATTAAGTCACCACAAACTTTTTGTAAGTAGCGTACTCGTGTTGGCTTCTCGATTCGTGCTTTTCCTTCTCTTGGATGGACAGGTGTTGGGGTTCTCTTGGCACCCCTTCCTTTTATACTGCCGTCTTCCAGTTAGTGGTTCAGTGTGAACACCACAGCCGAATATAGCGATAACTCAGACAGCAGTGGGCTATGCATCTTTATCAGTTGATGATAACATGTGGGTCAGGTGAAAAAGATTATGAAAATACACCCAAGAAGCGAGGCAACCAGTCTGTGCCTTCTGCGTCTCCCGCCACAACCAATCGTTCACGCACACACCAAACTCATTCTTGGCAATGTGGGTGAAGTGTCTTGCCTAAAGACACAAGAGTTTGGCACTTTACAAGAACCTGGCCTTCCCAGAGGTCTCATTTCACAGTAATAACCAGGCCCTGCCCTGCTTAAATTCAGAGGTCTGACAGAATCTGGCTTTTACATGCATTATAATGTTGTTCTTTAAAATGTTTTTAAAATGTTTGTGTTGCTCCATGTGGATGACGAACTTGTTGAAGTACATTTTAAGTTTGTTTTGAACATTTTGATTCATTCCTCCAGTGTCCTCTGTCTTCCCCATGGTCAACACAGGTCTAAACAGCATGCCAAGCTTTTCCACTGCTGTCCCAGCTCGACACGCCATTTCAACACTGGTCAAAAACATGTATGAAAACACTCAAAGCCTAGTGTGAGTTCACCCAAGGCCACAGCTGGAAGCATGTACCTCACTTTCCACCTCAGTCCTGGACCATGGACCAGTCTGCTCACTCCAAACCTCTACACAGTGCATCCTTGCTCTAATCAAATCATCCGATTCCTCGCGGTGCTTGTGATCAGCGGCCACTGTAGACTCCAGGCCTTCCTCTTCCTCATCATCCTCCATCTCATTTCTACACCCATCCCTCCATCTGTCCCAGTCTCGCGGGAGGCCAGCCCAATTAACCTGTTTAAACAGCCATCTGAACGGCCCATCCATTCCAACGCTGTGAGTGAGCGAGAGCCAGTGGACGCAGCCAGGATGCCAGTGCCAGTCCGCTGCCCTTCGCAGACCGCACACCCCTGTCATTCCTCTTCTACTCTCTGTTTTTACATAAAGGCTTTTTGTGCTCGTTGCAGTCCATGGGTTTTGCAACTTTTTAAAGAAGACACAGTAAATATCTTTTGTCTGCTGTGTATGATAATCTATGACACATGTTGCTCTTAATATTTAAAGTCAAGGTTATCAGTCTACTAAAGTAACGTTTATGTATCCCAAATTGGCAATTTTGTCCCATCTGCTTCAACGCCACTCGGGCCTCTGTCAGAAGCAGTGGTCGCTACAGTGCACCCTTCTCCAGATGATATTGTTATTGGAACTGAATTGGAGGATTTTTCTCATGTGCATGCTTTTAACAGTGGAAGAAACCGGAGCACCTGGAGGAAAACCTACCTAGACATGTTTTTCACATATAGAGAAACATGCTAACTACTTGCTGTAAACATGAGTGCTACCCCCTTAGCCACCATCATGTTCCATATGTCCCCGACTTCAGCTATGGCTTGCATGTAGGGCAAGCGCCTCAGCTGATTGGCTCTCGGTTGCTCGGTTGTTGCTTTCCACAAGTTTGCATTCATTTTTCTCTTTTCAAACTTGTTCTAATTGGCTAAAAGAACACTGAGTGAGTCAGCACTGGGTTAGTTCTCTCCTTCTATGCTCTATGGTTAGAACGGGGGCAATACTGTGGTGGTCAGGGAAGTGTAAAAGAATATAAATGTCCCAAACAAGACGAAACAGAGACTTTGAGTGTGCCAAGGACCAGCAAAAACAACAACAGTACAACATGGTTAAAAGCTGTGAACAGTCGATACTGCAAGTTTCTTCCCCTTTAACAATTCAAATGAGTTGATCGCAACTTTGTCGCCTCCTGAGATGTTCATTCTACCAACTGCAAGCTGGTGCGGTGCAGAATCCGGTTACATGGCACCGCTTTGGCATCAGCACTGGTGGGTTTTGGGCTGAGGGTTGGTGACTTGTCCCTTTAGTGAATGAGCTCGTATCTAATTGTGCAGCTTCAGCTCAGTCGACAAATGAGAACAAGTTCATATTCTGATCTTTGCTCCACCTACAGCGCAAAAAGGCTCAGATAGTGCCTCATGACCTTTAAAGGGTAACATACGGAAAACCCTCACTTGATTATCCCACAGCTAATTTAACTTTTTAACTAAAAATGTCTAGTCAGGCATGGAATGACTTGTTTTTCCCAGTTTATTAATCCATCTCCAGCCAATTCTGTATATGTCGTACATGCATTACAGAACACTGATGACACTTGATCCATTGTCTAGCCCGTGTCTGGTGTGAATGGTTTTGTATTGGCTAATGGCACAGATTATTAGCCTTGCTTCCCAGGGCAGATGTGGCTGCAGAAGTAGCTTTCACCCAGCGCGCATGGATTGAGTGAATATTATCATAAAGCATCTGATGTCATGAAAATTTGTTATATTAGTACGATGCATTATGTTGAAGGCTTCAGAAGATGTTTTAAAGACATCAATTGCAACTTAATGTGTTCCGTTTCAACTCTGTACTGTTTCATAACTTCTATAAAATACAAAAGAATAAACTTGAGAAGTTGTCCTGAATCATTGTCATAGGACGTCTTTGTGTAGGAAATCCCTAACTGGCCAAAAAATCTCACTCAGAGCTCTTTGAATAGTTCACACACAGACAGTTGATATTTTGCATCAGTTGCATCAGATTTATCAGAGAAGACTGGTGTTATCCTTGTCACTTGTAACACGTTCTCTGGCTGCATCAGGAAATCAAAGCCCACCTGTCTACAACACACTTGGCATCTTGCAATAATGTTTCATATGAAAAAAATACATACAGATATATATTTAGAACATTAAAGTAGTGCTACCATGTTGGCTAATGCATTTTGCTTTAATGTGAAATGCGAAGCGATGTGAAAAAAAAGAGAGGGGCGGAGCTGTCAACCGATCATCACCTGGTCGTGAGTTGGATCCGCTGGCAGGGGAAGAAGCCGGTCAGACCTGGCAGACCCAAGCGTATAGTGAGGGTCTGCTGGGAACGTCTCGCTGAGCCCCCTGTCAGACGGACTTTCAACTCACACCTCCGGGAGAGTTTCTCCCAGGTCCCGGTGGAGGAGGGGGACATGGAGTCCGAGTGGACCATGTTCTCTGCCTCAATCGCCGATGCGGCGGCTCATAGCTGTGGTCGCAAGGTCTCTGGTGCTGGTCCCGGCGGCAACCCCCGAACCCGGTGGTGGACACCGGCAGTAAGGGATGCTGTCAGGCTGAAGAAGGAGTCCTATCGAGCCATGATGGTTCGGGGGACTCCTGAGGCAGCTGTCCAGTACCGGCAGGCCAAGCGTGCCGCGGCCCGGGCTGTTGCAGAGGCAAAAATCCGGGACTGGGAGGAGTTCGGAGAGTCCATGGAGCATGACTATCGGTCGGCCTCAAAGAAATTCTGGCAAACCGTCCGGCGCCTCAGGAGGGGGAAGCAGTTCTTTGCCAACACCATGTACGGTGCGGGTGGAGAGCTGCTGACCTCGACTGGGGATATTGTCGGGCGGTGGAAGGAATACTTTGAGGTTCTCCTCAATCCCCCCGTCACGTCCTCTGTTTCAGAGGCAGAGGCTGAGGATGTTGGGGCGGATACATCCATCTCCCTGGCTGAGGTCACCAAGGTGGTTGGTAGCCTCCATGGTGGCAAGGCTCCGGGTGTGGATGAGATCCGCCTGATTATCTAAAGTCTCTGGATGTTGTAGGACTGTCTTGGCTGACACGTCTCTGCAACATCGCGTGGCGATCGGGGGCAGTGCCAATGGAGTGGCAGACCGGGGTGGTGGTCCCTCTCTACAAGAAGGGGGACCGGAGGGTGTGTTCCAATTATCGTGGGATCACACTCCTCAGCCTCCCCGGTAAGGTCTACTCCAAGGTACTGGAGAGGAGGCTACGGCCGATGGTCGAATCTCGGATCCAGGAGGAGCAGTGTGGTTTTCGTCCCGGTCGCGGAACACTGGACCAGCTCTATACTCTCCATCGGATACTCGAGGGTTCATGGGAGTTCGCCCAACCTGTCCACATGTGCTTTGTGGATTTGGAGAAGGCGTTCGACTGTGTTCCCCGGGGTGTCCTTTGGGGGGTTCTCCGGGAGTACGGGGTCGGGGGTCCTCTGCTGAGGGCCATCCGGTCCCTGTATGACCGGAGCCAGAGCTGTGTTCGCATTGCCGGCAGTAAGTCAGACCTGTTCCCGGTGAATGTTGGCCTCCGACAGGGCTGCCCTTTGTCACCGGTTCTGTTCACTGTATTTATGGACAGAATATCTAGGCGCAGCCAGGGGTCGGAGGGGGTCCGGTTCGGGGACCACAGGATTTCATCTCTGCTGTTTGCGGACGATGTTGTCCTGTTGGCTCCAACGAACCAGGACCTGCAGCATGCACTGGGACGGTTTGCAGCCGAGTGTGAAGCGGCTGGGATGAGAATCAGCACCTCCAAATCTGAGGCCATGGTGCTCGACCGGAAAAAGGTGCCCTGCCCTCTTCAGGTGGGTGGAGAGGTCCTTCCTCAAGTGGAGGAGTTCAAGTATCTCGGGGTCTTGTTCACGAGTGAGGGAAGAATGGAGCGTGAGATTGACAGGCGGATCGGTGCAGCGTGCGCAGTGATGCGGTCGCTGTATCGGACTGTTGTGGTAAAGAAGGAGCTGAGCCGAAAGGCAAAGCTCTCGATTTACCGGTCAATCTTCGTTCCCTCCCTCACCTATGGTCATGAGCTTTGGGTAATGACCGAAAGAACGAGATCGCGGATACAAGCGGTCGAAATGAGCTTCCTCCGCAGAGTGGCTGGGCGCTCCCTTAGAGATAGGGTGAGGAGCTCAGTCACACGGGAGGAGCTCGGAGTAGAGCCGCTGCTTCTCCACGTCGAGAGGAACCAGTTGAGGTGGCTCGGGCATCTGTTCCGGATGCCTCCTGGACGCCTCCCTGGGGAGGTGTTCCGGGCACGTCCCACCGGGAGGAGGCCCCGCGGAAGACCTAGGACACGCTGGAGGGAATATGTCTCTCAGCTGGCCTGGGAACGCCTTGGGGTCCCCCCGGACGAGCTGGAGGAAGTGTGTGTGGATAGGGAAGTCTGGGCGTCTCTGCTTAGACTGCTGCCCCCGCGACCCGGCAACGGATAAAGCGGAAGAAAATGGATGGATGGATGGGTGAAATGCAAAATCATGTGAAAAGAAAATAATGTGACATAATTAGAAAGATCTTTTGGTTCTTGTTTGATTTGCTATATAATACAGATTAATGAAAATAAATGTGTTGTTAATATAGCATGTAGCATTGTTAATGAAGGTTGTAGAGTTTCAATTCTGTATGAAATTCAGTTAGTAATGTGCCATGTGATTTTTTTTTTTTTGCAATGACAAAGGTGTGCCACAGCTCAAAAAGGTTGGGGAACACTGGATTAGAGCGTTGACTATTTAGAGATGAATAACATGGACAGGCTCAGCAGTTCTCATTGTACAGTCTGACAGCAGCAGGAAGGCCGATGTTAGTTGTTTTATTACTTGTTGCTCGAATTCTTGAACTCGCTCCAGTCCATCATCCTTTTCGCGATGCACGCACACACACTCATTTTTGTGCCACATTACACCACATTTTCAACAGAAGTCAATGCACCGTGCCACCATTCAACTATTCAAATGACTTTTTCTTCCAAACTTTTGTCGCCTCGAGAGATCGTCACAACAACAATCTTCCGTTTCCCCTTGCTCTTTAATGTTCCCTTGTTCTCTCCCCAGTGTCGGCAGATTGCCACCTCCGCACAGCCCTCGCTCCCCCTCCCCCCCCTCACCCTTCTGCTCTGTCACTACTACACTGCTCGCCGCTCTCCTTTCAACACTTGTCACCTACTTCTTGTCAGACTGTCCGAAGGAAGACCGCGAGAAGGTCACAACTCCCCCCTCAGCGCTAACGGTTCCTCCTTGTCCTTGTCTTGTCGAAAGGTAGACGGTAACTTTAATTAGAAAAGCGTGGGAAGGGCCGGGTGACAGCCAAATCATACGCCGCTTCAGAGGGGAGGGGTGGGCTGGCTTGCGGTTCACTGCCACGCTGGAGTGAGTTTGTAGCCGGCAGGTCAAGACTACACATGTTGGGTTGATCCAAATAACTGACGGTCAATAGAAAATCAAGATACTACATACATAAACAAATAACAACTGACAACTGCAATGTGTTCACCCTTTGTTGTAGCATTTATTGATGAACGAAACTGTTGTCACTTTATGGATCGTGAGCTGAACAAGCGAGAGTCATCAATGGAAGTCTTACCCTAACCTGGCAAGAGCCAGACTGATGATTGTGTAGAACACTCATGCGTTCTCCACAATATCAATCTGGGACTTCTGCAGGAGAATCCTTTCGGGGAAAGGAGGGATAAGCAGCAGAATACTTCAAGCTGATTGGGCGAAGTGACGCTGTGTGCCCGCCTACCAAGGTTTGACTTAAACCAATCCCGGTAACATTATGTTGTCATCGGCGTGCACAAAGCGCCTCTCGCTGTTCATCTTTCAAAAAAGAAATTGGAGATTCTGCTAAAACTGACTTGATAGCCTCAGCTACGCGTCCGTCCTCCTGCGTAGCCATGTTTGTTTTGCTTCGGCCCGGCACTTCTTGCTTTCGTCAAACCCGGATATCCCGCCCTAAACCCCCAGACTGGCGCGTGATTGGCTTGAACACCTAGATGTTCTACTCGAAAAGGGTTGGCGGGATTCGGGCAAGATGTATTCTCGAGTGTTTGTGAACTCACAAATACCGCGAGAATTCAACTTGCAGGCAAAGTTAGTCTTACCCCTTTGGACCGGTATTGACCAATATGGACCAATATGGACCAGTATGATGTGGCATCTCCATCGTCTTTTTTGTACAGTCCAAAACAAGTTAATCAGGGGCCCTGATTAAAGCCAACTGTCGGGCTGGTGCTATGTGTACTGGGTGCAGCTCTGACTGCCACCCCCCCCGACCCAGAAATGGATTAAGGGGAAGAAAATGGATGGATGGATAGATATAAGAAGATTCGATGGCATAGAGAAATATACAGTTGGTGTATATATATTTCTATCACAATAGTAATACCAGAAATCAGTTTCTCGACCAACGCTGAAGACGGATGACCACATTTTTACGAAATGTCAGTAAACCTTGCAAATACGGCGAGAGGAAAAAAACATTTTGGAGGTGATCGGGGTCCAGGTGTTTTTTATTGGAATGGAGCTGCACCTTCTGACATTTTCAGGCTAAGTACTGTGCTTTCTCAGTTCTGGGCCATGACCTGATTTGAATCTGGTTTGAACTAGTTCAGTCCTAATGCTGATTCAGTGGTTTGACTGATCAATACTGGTTAAGCTTATAATGTTAAAAGTTGTTATTATCATTGAAACAGATGCCGTGTTTGGGGTTTTCAGTGGGATACAAAACTTAAAACTTAAAGTGTTGACTCCCCTCTATGACCCTCGTATGATTTTCTCTGAAGCTGATAAAGGTTTAGAAGTCTCCAAGTAAACCTGGATGTAAACATTCTTTCAACATATTCACCTGGTTACACCAACAGCGATCATAATGCATCAAACAAAGCAGTTGGAAAATAAAGGATTTGACTTTTGCGTGTTCCTATTCTGTTTCCTCTCTCTCTAAAAGTTGGCTTGGCTCATGTGACCGAGTGCACAAATCAATGGCCACACACCATTTTAGACAACTCATTCATGTGCAGCAGTGCACTCGTGGACTGTGTCGCTCTGTTGTCGGCCCATTTTATAATCTCCTTCATATAGAGCTATGGAGTGAGTGTGTGTGCGTATGTGTGCGTATATGTGCGTATGTGTGCATGAAGGGGAAGGAGACACGCAAGTCAATGGAGGGGTAGAATTGGCACCGTCGTTCTCTTTAATTGGTGCAAGAACAGGAGCCTGTGGGTATGACGGCGCGATGCAGGGCCTGTCACTGTATTTGGATGTGGCTATTTGTGTGGTTAGTTCTGCTTGTCAGGGTTCAGCGGCCAGAGGAGAGAGCAGTCAGCGCACGCACACACAAACACACGCACACATGCGCGCTATTCAAAACCCCAGTGTACTTATTTATGTTACAAGTTGGTGTAAAACATGAGTGCCCTGAAGTGGAGGATAATGGGAGATAGTAGCGAGGCCATCTGTTTACATTTTGTTTTTTCATCTCTTGAAAACATACATTCTACCAACTAATTGGTTATCGGAGAAATAAAGAAAAGCACACAGTGGACGGTTAGGTTTAGATGCTTGGTTGAATTTTGATGCCATAGCCAGATAAGTGTCTATGGTTTGAATGATCTTAATCCTCCTGCCTGTGACACATGCACATGTAACCCTAACCCTAAGCACTGGTTACTGATGCAATCTACCTGCTGGGGTTTTACTGGAAACAGTACACACTGTGATACATATATTGGAGCTGCTCTCATTTAAACAAGTGTGTTTTTTGTTATTGAAAGTTCTTTTTGTATTTTTTTTAGGATAAGCCTAACCATAACCTAAAACCAACAACATTTCTCAATCTGGTATCCCAAATGAAAGACTCATTCAGCTCTCTGATTGGATAATCTGCTTAAAATGTGTTAACATCATGGACATCATTTCCATTGTGTTTTTAGTTCATAATAACTCCACTTAAAACGTTTGTGAAATCAAATATGATTTGTACATGTGACCTGTTATAAGACACATGCTACCCACTACTTATAACAAATGTAATACTTAAAAAAATAACCTGGGTCTGCTGAAATGGCATTTTTTACAGCTGCATGTCTGCGTCAACAGTAATTTTCACGTTTGAAAAAAATGCAACAAATTCAACCCCTCGGTCTGGTAGCATTACAGGCTGGAAGTGTTTATTTCCCCCTTCTTACTTGTTTCATCCTATATTTCCTACTTAATTTATTATTTCTCACTCTTAAACATAAAATGACAATGTAAATAGTCTCATTATTAATTAATTTCCCCCAAAAATAAAGCATACATACTATTCCTTCTTTGTGTGCGCACAGACACTTAGCTCACTGCTGCTACTTTGCTGCTACTTTTCTGATGCGTTGTGACTTGGAAGCAGCTCCGGAGTATATAGAATGCTTATTATGCGTTCGCCCGCAGCTCGCCCTGATGCTCCGCTCCCCTCCGCGTCTGCGCTGTTGGCTGCTCTTCGTCCCGCGCTGAGATTGGAACCGAGGCGGTAATTGGAGGGCACGGGGAAAATGGGAACCCCACCACCTGCTGCTTGTTTTTTGACTCTTTCTCAAAGTCGCACAATTAGAGCCGCAATATGTCCTGCTTTGTGCTTGCACCATCTTATATAATTGAGTAGTTTGGAGAAAAATCTATTCCCCACAAAGAAACACATGTTTGCCAACTGGTGTTTGCTGCACTCATACATTTTAATGCAATCTACGAGAATAATGGTAAGGGACAGGACAGAATGGGAGCGATTTTGCAGGCGCGCAGATGTCTTCGTTGTGTATTTTGTGGCTTTGGGGATTTTATTCTTCCTGCATATTTCTGTGAATAGGACGTTTGATAATTACACTGCTATTGTGTAAGTCAGTTACCGTAGAAATGTTTTGATTGTGGGTGTGTTTGTCCAGAAAAGGTCGTTTCCAACACGGACACAGATCGATTAAAAAAACATTCTCAATAATCAGTTCTGTTAACTGACAGAGTAACTGGAGACAACCAGTTTCAAGGCGGCTTTTGGCAACTGAGAGTAGATGATGGAGATGATCAGTTGGCGAAATCGGTCGATGTGAGCGCTCTTACAACTGGAGATGAACAGTCGATCTACGGTTTCAGTCAGTTGCCCGTGTTCTACTTTTCAGCAACTAGTTGGACTCAGATCCAACTAGTATTGCGAGCCCGCAACAGTTTATGTCAGAAAACACACTGTAGTTGAGGCCAGTTGCTGTCGATGTACGCGCTGTTATTCCCGAGACTGGCCTGCTACTAGCAGTTGCCCGTTTTCGCCAGATTGTCGATGTGTGCGAGGCAGCAACTCATATGCGACGGATATAATCAGTTGCCAGTCCGATGTGCGCTAGGCTTTAGGTCTGATGGTGAGTTTATCCCACTCTCAGGAGTGTGTGTGGGTTAGCAGGTCTTGTGTTTGAGTGATTCCTTATTCTCTTTCATATTTGCCAGTATTACATTATAATTTGTAAACTGCTCTATAGCCACAAGGTTTTTGGTTTGGTTTTCAGGATTTTTTTATATCTCACAAGTTTATTTGAAAGCATCGGGTCATTTTGAACATTTCAAGAAATAAATGTGCTCATTTTGTCCCTGAAATGTAGTCATGGTCCATCGACATCTATTCACACTTGCATTCATCAATTTGTTAAATATTTCACAATAGATGAATGCCCAAAATTGCAATGATAAAAGAAAATTATATACTAGCTTATACAATACAATTATAAAATGTGTATATTTGAATCTATGTTTGCTCAGGCAGGTCTGCAAGTTCAGGTTTGATCTGATTAAAGATGGAGCCCATGCAGCCCTCCTGGAGTTCTGGTTTAGTTATGTTCAGACCAGGTTTAGCTCTTGTCCAGTCCTGGGTCAGTCCTGGTTAACCTAGCCAACTGTATTGGTGCAGTTGGCTTTCACTGCATGTGAAAAGCCAGTCGCTGTCAGACCTCTCAAGTTTAGCAGGGAAGGGTCTGGTTAAGACTGTGATGGGAGACCTGTGGGAATGTCGTTGTGTTAGGCAAGAAACTTCACCCACAATGCTTTGTATGAGTCTGGTGTGTGTGTGAATTGCTGGTGATGGTCAGAGGGGCCGATGGTGCTGTCAGTGTGCTCCAGGGCAGCTGTGGCTACAGAAGTGGTATATCACCACCATGTATGGAGTAAATGAACAGTGCTGCGAAGCATCTTTTACTGTCCAAACAAGCGCAATAAAAACTGATGCATTATTAATATTATTAGCAATCCCAG